TACGAGCACCAAATTGTCATGAGGAAAAACTGGTACTTGTATCATTAATAAAAAAATACAAATTGATAATAGAAAATAAGCGGACTGATGCTGTGAGTATTAGAGACAAAGAAGAGGCTTGGCTGAAGATATTGGACGAATATAATCAGCAAAGCAACTGTCGGGCTCGCGAATAAAAATATTAAATATAATATAAATAAATCACATTTATTTACAAAATTTATAAATTTTTAATATTTCACTTATATATATTTTGCGAAAATGCAACTTTTTAAAATCTAATCTTGTAAATAGCTTACCGAATTTTGTTTCGGTGGTTGGGATCACTACTTGACTACTAGTTAAGCTAACTGGACACTGTTGAACCGGGCCTTAGCACGAGATTCGACATTCATTTTTCAGAAGATCGGGACAAAGAGATAGAAGAGAAAATGGAACTAGGACTTCGACTGATGGAAAAAGATAACGAATACCGAACAAATAGGTAATAACTACAGAAAGATTTATGCAGGTCAATATAAGACTTTTAAGACTAGTACTAAAGTGAAGATTGCTGTATACCTTCCAAGATCTGATGATAATATAACAGATAATAAGTATTCTTATCCAAGAGCAGCAGTACACACTGCTAGAATTTTGTCTAACGCAATGTTAAACAGACAAACCTGAAGGATTTTTTTTATCAATTTTGACAAAAATTATACAAAAGAAAAATTTTAATGACGAGACATAACACCTCTTCCCTATTAAGAACAAAATCCTCCAAAAATATCCTTGAGGATATTTATGCACGTAAAATATATGCATATTGTCGCGTTTTAATTTTCGCGAATAATTATATAAAAAAAAATTACGCACTACCAACTGCGGTGACTTAATCGTTCTTTTCTAGTGTATCGTGTTGTTAAATACATAAAGAGCCTAATTCTTTATCCATTTATTAATTTATTAAAGTAAATTAAATTTGCTTTATGAAAAATTTATGCGAAAAATATTAATAATACAATTGTATTATTTATTTCAGTAAATACAAAAATATTTGTGAAAATGATTGTCGAGTTATAAGATAAAAAAATATAATTCAGCATATCGACAGGATTACAACAGTGAAAATAATTTCCTTGCTAGAACGGATCAAAAATTATTTATCGTTGAGATCGATCGAAAATATAAGAAACATGGAAACTCGTTTATAACAAAAAGATTTTGTTGATAAATATGTAAGTAATTATAATATCAGATTGTTTCTTTCTAATGAAATATGTTCGGGATCGCAATTTTGAATTGCGTGAGTAATGCCAGTACACACCCGAGTGGGTATCGCGAGATGGGAAGACAAGTGACTTCGGCAAGGATGAGTGACCGGATTAAATAATGTAAACTTCCTCCTTTGATTTTCACACAGTGACATCCATAAGAGAGTTACTTTTAACTTTATTGCAATATGGCACACGATATTTACTATGTTTAAGAACGTTCGAAGCGTCCAAGATGCTAATTCGAGTGCTCTGAGCATGTCGAGAGTCGCACGAGTGGATGCGAGACCGCACGCACTATACGACGGTTCGCGAGAGTAAGGGAGACAGCGCTTATTGAGGAGCACACGAGTGAGCGGAGTCCGAAGGAGCAAGGACGCTCCTCCTCTTCACTAAAGGAGGCACTCAACTATGTCACGGCACTCGCGCTCAGACTTTGAGTCCGTGACAGCACTGATAATGATTCACACGTAATTCTGAACCGACATGATGATTCGAGATCATGACTTTCGTCATGTGTGCTCGGGTTCTAACGACTTTCTTTCTTTTTAGTAATCTAACGATACTCTCGATGATCAGACAACGACTCTCTCGGAGAGAGGCTTTCTCCGTCAAGATAAAGATTCGATCGCAAGTCGGGTGATTCGATTTGAGCCTATCCTGTTTAGTCAAATCGTGTGATTTTTCGATTGCCGGATTGGCCAGGACCATGTCCTACGCGATCACGAGGATCCTGGCTAATTTGGCAAAACAAGGATGGCAATACTAGAGTTCGATCGATCGTGAACGGACGACGCCAGTATTACTTTAATTGAATCTTTCATTCGAGTCGCAGGGCGAATCCTGAACAAAATAAATTGAATTATTCAGAAAACGTCGGAATAAGATAAGTTTACACGATTTAAACCTGGAATTTTAATATTCATGTAAATTATGAAAGTTCAAATATCAAAGAAATTTTTGTATTATATATTTTATATAAAATAAATTGGTATATAATTCGGCTCTATGTATTTTAAACAACATAATAATTTAGTATCGAGCACTAAGAGCCCATAAACGCGGATGGCAATGCGTAAATTTTTACGAACATTAATTGTTCGCGAAAAAATTTTTTTAAGACATATGCACATATGCAAGGTTATAGATTCTCTTGGTTTGAGACTTCTATAACAACCCCTTTTACCCCCCTGGAGAGATGTAGACAGGAAAAATATCGGGGCGAAGTCGCTGAATCGGGAATCGAACCCGAGAAAAGGGGTTGTTATAGAAGTCTCAAACCAAGAGAATCTATAACCTGGCTTATGTGCATATGTCTTAAAAAAATTTTTTCGCGAACAATTAATGTTCGTAAAAATTTACGCATTGCCATCCGCGTTTATGGGCTCTTAGTGCTCGATACTAAATTATTATGTTGTTTTTATATAAAAGTGCTACAGAAGAAATATTTCGAATTACTCACCCCTCTAATTTCGTAATAAGCGAAGTGAGACCTTCAAATTAAATTTCTTTTCTTGAATATGTCTCTTCTGAGGAAAATCTAGACACCATGTCTTATGTAACGCATGAAAGATATATTATATATTATTTAACTGATATTTATATATTATATAATATTATATATTATATATTATTTACATGTCTTTCTCCTGCGATTCTTGGCATTGATAATGATCTGGAGCAGATCGAAACGTTTGCCCTTTCTTTTGTTTTTTAAAATAAAATATTTATTTTTTTGTGATTTCTGATCTGAATTTATATTGTCATTTTTATTAATTTGCGTCATAGATCTGCGCCTAGTGGTCTTATAGCCTACATTGTGTTTAATATGTTTGAATATATTATTTAAGATATATTATTAGATACCTTGTCTCATGTAATGCTTGAAAGATATATTATATTTATTTTCAAAAGACGTGCAGGAATGGCAATATTTGTCATTAAAAGGACAAAAGTAACCGTTCAGTTCTTCATGCAATAATTTAGATAATGCACGTCTTTTGAAAATAAACCACTCCAACATGTGACTTACCACGTTTCTCACTTTCCCTCACTTTACTCTGACACTTTTAGGTGTTGTATATGCTACAGACCCATAGCTTTACGCATCCCTTTGGTTGATTGTAGGAAATGTTTTTTATATTATTTACAAACCGAACAAGTTTAAGAATTTAATTTCAACAGAAATTGTTGAAATTAATAATGAATAACTCAAATGATTCTTCCTGCCATTGCTGATTGTACGATCTGCTTACGAAATATTGAAGAAATATTTCGAGTTACTCATCCCTCTAATCTCGCAATAAGCGAAGTGGGACCTTCAAGTTAAATTCTTCTTTGATATGTCCTCTGAAGAAAATCCAAATACCTTGTCTCAAGTAACGCATGAAATAGTTGATGGATATCTGTCTGGCAACGAATATTATTGCCCTCCATGTGCAAAGCGTCTCAATCCTAACGCTGCTCAACTAAAATATCACAGTGTTTCCCAAGATTTTCCTAACGCTACTGAATCTAAATGTTGCTTCTGTGGGTGTAAAGTATCCACCATAACTCCTTTAGTCGACTGTAGACAGTGTTTCTTACTCTATTTGGAAGGAGAATGAGAACGAGAGCTTTCATCACAATTGACCAAATGAATATCTTATCTGAATTAATATCTGATCAAATTCTCTAAAACCTATCTAAATTACTGCATGAAGAATTAGATGGTTACTTTTGTCCTTTCAATGACAAATACTATTGCTATTCCTACATATCTTTTGAAAACAAACCACTACAACTTGTGACTTATCACAACGTCTCCCATTTTTCCCCACTTTATCTTAACAGTTTTAGATGTTATATATGTTATAGATCCATAGCTCTACGCACTCCTTTGATTGAATGTAGGAAATGTTTTTTATATTACTTGCAAACCGAACAAGTTCAAGAATTTAACTTCAATAGAAATTATTGAAATTAATAATGAATGATTTAAATGAACCTTCCTGCAATCACCCTATACATGAACTTATATCCCACTTATCTAATTTTCATAAGGCCGAATGTAAGAAAGTAATCTTTTATCGAAGATTTGTAGGGAAAAAGAATCGCAAAGACATACATGTGTTGCCCATGTTACAGATTGCGACAATTGCGAAAAAAGGCCGATTTAATTGTTTGCCACTGGGTAGCTTATGGAGATATTAATTTTCCTCGATGTGAGTACTGCAACTCCTCTTTAGAATTTAAACGTCCTATATTCGAATGCAATGATTGCGTATACTCTTATCTCGAAAGAGCAATGTTTGAGAAAAATCAAGGAAGTAAATAGTTATTATAATGACTAATACACTATAATGACTAATTACGAAATCGTTGATGGATACCTAGTTGGGAATTGTGTATATAACTGTCTTGCATGCGCGGAACTCCATGGAAATACATACTCGATTAAAATATCATTCTGTCTCAGGAAACTTTCCCGATGTCTCCGAATCTAAATGTTGCTTATGTGGGAAAAGCATATCTATTGTGACTCCACTAATCGACTGTCGCCAATGTTTCTTCTTGTATCTGGCGGGAGAACGAGAACTTGAACTTGCACCAAAACGTAAATCTTACTTAAAATATTATCTGATCAAACTCTTTACACTCTTTCTGAACTATTGCACGAAGAATTGAATTATTTCTGTTCTTCTAATGATTATTATTAGTGTCACTCCTGCGCATCTTATGAGACCAACCCTTTACAACCTGCAACTTATCACCACGTTTCTTATTTTCCCCCACGTCTTCTTTACAATACTAGATGCTATATGTGCGATAGACACATAGCTTTATGTACCCCTCTCATTGAATGTAGGAAGTGCCTCCTTTATTACTTACAAACCGAGCAAGCGTTAGAATTTAACTTCAACAGAAGTTGTTAAAGCTAACAATGAACTATATATATGAGCCTTGTTGCAATCTAATCTACAATCTTACACCTCACCTATCTAACTTCCATAAAGCAGAATGCAAAAAGGTAATCTTTTACCGAAGATTTGTCGGAAAGAAAAACCGAAAAGACTCATTACCTAAAATATTGTCGGACCAAACTCTTTATAATCTGTCTCAATTACTACATGAAGAATTGGATGGTTACTATTGTTTTCCTACTGAATACTATTACTGTCATTTTTGCACGTCCTATGAAAATAATCCTCTACTATAGATTTACGAAGGTGGGCGCTAGAAGCAAAAGAGCAAGTTGATTTTACTACGTTTAGAGCAGGACATTGGTGGATATGGAATTTTAAAAAGACTCATCACATTACATCACGTAAAATAACAAAATTTAAATCGCAATCTAATTCACAATCTGATGTACTGATACGTCAAAATGCAGAATTTGTGAAAACTGTAAAACCACATATTGATGTAATTAGTGAAGGATCAACTTATAATGCAGATGAAAGCGGATTTAATCTAGAAATATACATTCTGGAAGAACATTAGCTAATATGGGAGCAAAGACAATCGAAGCTACTATTCAATCTTTATCTTCTATAAGTCACAGTTATACTATTATGCCAATTATATCTGCGGATGGATCTCTTCTTTCGCCTCTATATATAGTCTTAAAAGAAATTACTGGATCATTTGGTCCACGAGTAGAAGAAACCCTTTTTCCACCTGTTAATGTTTACATTGCGGCTTCAAAATCCGGAAAGCTTACAACTCAACACTTAAAAATTTGGTTTTTAGAAGTATATCTTCCAAATACTAAAGAGAAAAGTTTGCTATTGTTAGATTCATGGACAGGCCATTGTCCAGAACAATTAATAGAACATATACCAAAAGACAAACAAGTAACTATTGTAACAATACCAAAGAAAACAACTGCTTTTGTACAACCTTTAGATGTTTTTGGCTTCAGAATCTGGAAAAATTTTATTCGAAGCTTTTCTGATAATGTTATTTTACATAATTACGATGTAAATTTACATTTACGCAATAACATCATAAAATTACAGTCTTTGACACATAATCAACTTTCTTCTCCAAGATTTAAAAATTTATTTAAATATAGTTGGTACAAAAGTGGTTATTTATCAACAAGGCCGGAAAAGTTTGAGAATCCAATCAATTATTGTTATTTTAAAGAAGAAAAGAATATACCAAAATGCAGCATTTGTGGTAAAATGGCTTTTATACGTTGTGCGTGGTGCAAAAATTATTTTTTTGATCATTTCTTTGAACAATATCATTATTGTAACAATTATATAAAATAAATATCTTATTTCTGTTAAAATAAAACCGAAAAGAAACTGTTCATAAAAATACCGGAGAGTTTTATATACAAATAATAATACTAACAATAATGTAAGTTATATTTTTGTATTGCTTCTTACAAGATGTTTCATTTTAATAGAAACAGTAGAATATCTTAAAAACGAAACAACTGACAAAAATGGTCAGATGAGTACGATGAGTTGATGAGTCAGATGAGTTTAGGTACGGATTCCGTCCTGGCTTTATTGCTACCATTTCTAGAATGAATAATTCTGCAGCTAAATCTAACAAGAACAAGCGCTCTGTGCGCAAGTTCAAACCTTCAAAAGAATCGGTTGACGAACCATCTGAAGTCCCGGTTCAAACGAAGGCCCGCCGTTCACCGGCAATGCGACGCAGATCCAATGAACGTATGGATAGTCATCGAGCAAAACTGAGTGAACAACACGATGCTAAGGAGAAACGCCGAATCTACGACGAACTTATGTTTGGGTACCGATCAGAAGTAGAGGTCATGCGCTCCATGCAAATCGTCTCAGTACCAAGCTCTGCTATCATTCCTGTCACCTTTCGTTCAGTCGGATTTATGTGTCAGTGTCTGTATTGCAAATTCGCCATGTTACGCATTAACATGCCGCGATGTTCCATCTACAGCCTTTTCCGTGTAACTCTTCTACAACTAGAGGCACGTGTCAGTGCTGCAATGACAGAACAATGCTGTCGTGATATAGGATCCGAAGACGTATTTCTCGTCTTAAAGATCACTTTAGAACAGATTCGCATCTGCAGTGACCTTGGAGTTAACATCGCTCCTTTTGCTAACATGATCCGTAATCTCGGACTTATTAAAGGATTCGGAACGACATTCATTCCCAGAATCACCCAGACACCTACTTATGGTGGAAGGCGAGTCGCGGACCCTGTTTCTGTGCACTATTCATCCCTCGCCTGGATTGTTCGCCGAATGGCTGATGGCAACACGCCACTTCAAGAGCGTGATTATTTCTATCACCACAATCCATTACCTGGGGCTAAGTGGAGAGGTTCAAGATCTGCTTTCTCAGATCCGGTTCGTGCTGCTCCCTCGACATCGGCTGCTGCCGTAGAGGATGATGCACCGATCCGTTTGCCCGACTCAGATCTCTTCCCGATACTCGCGAATCCAGCCGATTTCTGGCCTGGAGGATACGGTGATGATGAGCTATTGGATGATGTGTCTTGCGTGCAAGCGCTGATCTCAGTCGTAGGCCGAAAGTTCTCAAAATACATTCAATGTGGAGCTATTGATTACAAAGCGCCAGACTCAGCTTCTATGCTTGTAACCAATGACATCGGTACCCTGCGCTGTAATGACCACCCGATGCAAGATTATGGGATTGATGGTGAACTCAACTATGACGCCGTGCCGCTACGCGGCAAAATAACAGACTTCTGGGCGTCTGAAGCGATATCCGACCCTGAGATGTACATTAGATCAACACATCTCTTTGGCGAGTCTCCAAATGATAGATACATTTGCAAAGGCTACGGGATACGCGAAAGTTGGAACGGGAAAATGGATGCACATATCGATTATTCAACAACAATTGGAAATATGCTTGGATAGCATCCTTAGTTAGATAAGTTTTGCCCTCTAGCTTAATGGATAGAGCACCACTGTTCGAAGGTGGAGGTCCGGTAAAAAAAATGATTTGTTGAATGACTCGGATACTTATATGATTGTGAATAGAGACTCCGCTAAAAAAATGTGTAATGAGCTGAACGACATATTGAAAAGATAGCAACGGTTAGGTTACATTTCGGCTTCTAAAAAACGATCTTTGTATTGTAGCGATGGCACATTACCTCGAGCTTATGGCCTGCCAAAAGTCCACAAACCTAATTCCCCTCTAAGAATTATTGTTTCTTCCATTAATAGCCCACTCCACAAATTTGCTACTTTTCTACATTATTGCCTTCGTGACAACCTCCCACATTGCAAGAGCCACATTGCTAACAGCTATGAGTTGGTTGATAAGATTAATAATCTTTATGTGGATGACCATCTTGAACTCATTTCTCTTGATGTGGTGTCGTTATTTACCAATGTTCCCACGGATCTTATTATTGGTAGTGTCGGAAAACGTTGGCATTTAATTAAAAACAAAATTAAAATTCCTTTCTCTGAATTTATTATCGGACTTAGACTGGTTCTTAACTCTACTTTTTTCAGATTCAATGATAAAATCTATAAGCAAATTTTTGGAACACCTATGAGCTCCCCTCTCTCTCCTATTTGTGCGGACCTCGTTCTCCAAGACCTTGAAGAAAAAGCCATTTCACAACTTCCTTTTCACCTTCCATTTTACTTCAGATACGTTGATGACATTGCCTTAATTGCTCCCTCTTCCTGTTTGGATCTCATTAATTCTGTTTTTAATTCTTTTCATGATAGGCTGAAATTCACTATGGAGATTGCCAAGGATAGTCGTCTCAATTTTTTAGATGTGACTATTATTATTAATAATAGTCATATTGAGTTCGACTGGTATAGGAAACCTACTTTTTCTGGAAGGTTCCTCAATTTCTTTTCTCAACACCCGTTAGCTCATAAAAAGGGAGTAATTATTGGACTCAGACAAAATTTTCAAATTGTCACATCCGAGATATCATGAGAAGAATTTCGTTATCATCTCTGAGATCCTTTCCAGCAATGGTTATCCGGCGAATTTCATTTTTAATACCATCACAAGCCTGAATCAAGCTCCTGATTCATAATCAGTCTGTTCCTTCATCCGCTTCCTCCCCCCTTCCTTCTCCCTCTCCCACTCTATCATTTTTTGTTATTCCATACATTAAGGGAGTTTCAGAACATTTTAGAGACATTGCCTGCAAACTTAACAAATCTTTGGCCCATGTGGTCTTGAATAAATTGAATTGCTTTATTAAAGCGCATAAAGATCCTCTCCCAATGGATTGTCACTCAAATGTAGTATATAAAATCTTTTGTTCTGATTGCTCAGCATCGTATGTGGGACAGACGAGTAGAATGATCTCGACTCGTATCGACTCTCAGAGCACATTGACAGGCACACAATATAGTATATCTAATAATAAAGAATATTATATGCCTAAATATAGTGTAGTTTGTTTGGAATTGATTCCGATTAAACCATCCACGATAATAGTGAGTATTGCCTTAACTGGCTGTGCTTTACTTGTATATAAAGCCTTTAGTGACTTATCTGATAAGTTAGATCAGATTAGTGTTAAATTGGAAGATATAAAATCGACTATTAGCGACACTAAAAAACGATCTATAGGTCAGAATACTGACTCTGAAAGAGAGATTCACAAAGAAGATTCTATCAAGTTAGAATCTACAAAACAGCTTAAACATTACCAAGCTACTACTGATTTGTCAGGGAGATTAATTAAAGATGTCAGTTTCAAGTAAGAAAGGATCAGATGAGGATCTAGGAGAAAAACAAATTTCTGATGTAGAATCAGAGGAAGAAAAAGGAAGAGAAAGGGTGATTAGAGGGTTACCTCTGTTTGAAGAGGAGAAGAAAACATCTATTACATCTTTAGGAGCCAAGCCTAAACGAATAATGAAACGAACAGATAGATTGTCAGCTGGCGCAGATAAGGCTCCAAAGAGGAATCCTCAACCAGGACCTTCCACTGCAAACAATGATGATAATGAAAATGATGGCCGACCCAAAAGGGAATATGAACCAATAAGATCTAGGATCACTCTGCCAACAGAAAGGAAAACCCGTGGAATGGCTTTGTTAAGTGAAATCAAACTAATTGCAGATTTTGAAATTAGTGACCATATTGGTTTGGTTGCTTATCAAAACTTATTGATAGATCAATCTGAAGATTATGATCCATCTGCAGTTACATTGTTAGAAGAGGTCAAACATCTTCATGATATACAAGCATCAGTTGACATGAGAAAAGAACATGATCCAAAAGACCCTTTTCTTGATCAGCTTTATCATATTATGAAACTTGCAGGTGTTCCTCAAAGATCATGGAGAACTTTAATTGATGCTGTATTTTTTTATGATTCTGATGAAAATTTAAACAGGATTAAAAGGGTCATTTACGCTAGTAGATACCAAGGATTTGACCCATCAGTCATACTCAAGAGAGTGATAAAATCATGGCAAGATGGTAATAGGACTCCTCTCTAGACTTGTTCTGCGAGTTTTCGAAGAAAGTGAAGAGAGAGTATCGCGAACGCTCGGCACGGGAAAAGACGACGTGGCGGAAGCAACGAGAGACGAGTTCTACGGTGAGGTCACCCGGCTATCTAGAATTTTATTTCGAAAATTTATACGGCGTCCACCGGTACGGCTCGCGAGTCGACCCCTCTGGCCGGTCGCGATTAGAGTTTCGTTTGCGTAAATTTCGCGATAGTGAAAAGAAGTCGAGTGCGACCGTAGTCAAGGGGCGACAGTGATCCGGCGATCGGTCTCATCCGATATACTCGTTCGCCTCTCCGTTATCCGTGTGACGCGCGTTAAGTGCAGAATTTTGATCTCGAGGCTATCGCCGGTCGGAATGGAGCGACTCCGACCGATTGTGAGGGCTGTCGACCGCCACCCCAGGGGAAACGTTCCGCGACAGTTTGAGCGGCGAATTGGTGAGTACCTTGGAAATTGTGACAGCGGACCGGAAGTTGCGCGACCAAAACGGACCTCGATTCTCGACCATCTCTCTCTACGTGCGTTTTCTTTTTTGGCGACCCGCAGTCCGCTCACCGCGGACGTGCGAATAATCGGCTGTCGGAGGCTTAAGCTGTCGACACCCGCCGGGCCGTGCGTGCACCGGCGGGAACGCCTTAGCGTTGCGATACGCGAATTCCGCGTTCCGATCGATTAGAGATTGCCGTTCTTGCAGTAGTGTACATCGTCTTGGAGTTATCTCGGCTACTGCAATTAAATAAAAAAATAAAGTATCAAATGTTCATGTATGTTTTCGGTAATTCTGAGATCTCGTATTTCTTTCTGTTTTTCGTACGCGTAATCGCGCGCCTCGTTCGGTTCTCCGAAATCGTAAGCGCTCGCGCGCTTCTTTTCGTTCTTCGTAATTGCAAGCGCTCGCGCCTTTCTTTCAGTTCTCAGTACTTGTCATATTCAGGGCGCTTCTCTCTATTCTCCGTAATAATAGAGTTTCGCGCATCCGAGTCTGTTTACCGTAATTATAAAGCCTTGCGTATTTGACTCGGTTTACCACTGTTATACCGTCTTAGATTTCTTTTCGATTAGTTATCTCGAGCGAACAGTTGTGGTGAATCACGGCTCATTATTCCGGTTAGTTTCGATTGTATTTTATACGTCATTTGGTTGTCGTTAATCGAAGTATTGTGAACCTTGCGTCGATCTGATATGTCGTTCGATTGGATTATTATATTTTTCTTTCATTTGTTATTCTTTTTTTTATTATTAATAAATCTGTTATATTGTCTAGTTAAATTCGCGTAATTTATTTGAAGGTTCGTCCCCTGTGGTCATAGATATCCGTTTATGTGTCTCTCGCGCCTCGAATTAATTAATTGCCTCGCTCGAAGAACCCCTCCCCTCTACCGTTAGGCGAGCTAGTCAACCCGTGGCGAAGGAGGTAATCATCTTTCGCGCTGTTTAAAAATTCCGTAGAAAAACTGATGCGTGAAAGACCGCATCTGGCGCCCAACCTATCGAGATATCGAACTGCCTCCGCTCCGCTCCGCCGCGGCCCGCGCGAGCACCCTTCATCCCTGTTCCTCCGAGCGCGGAAATCGCATATTCCTCCTGTGTTTGACGGCGTTCTATCCGACCAAACTTAGAGCCAAGAAGGTGAAAAACGTCGCAAAATTTGGCATCCATGAGCATCGATCCAACATTGATCGACTCTCCGAACATCTATCTGTCTTATCTCAACATAGACTTACAGGACATGATTTTGCTTGGGATGATGTCGAGGTCTTGGATCAAGATGCTTCTTTTCTCAGAAAAACCACTTCTGAAATGATCCATATTATACGACAGAGCAATAGTCTCAACGTTCAGAAAGATACGGAGAAATTTGATAAAGTTTATCTTCCTATTATAAAATCTTCACATTTTTAATTCCCATATCAATTTCCATTTTTATTTTTGTCATCCGCTCCTGAATTCCCCTCTCCCCCTCCCTTTCCCTCTCCATCGGATTGGCATGCCTGGCTCTCCATCACGCGTCTCAGTACATTTCGTCGTCTCGTTTGGTGTACATGTCTCCTGTGTCTTGCGATAATTTTGCTCTGCTTTTTTCTCACTACGATCTTTTCAGCATTTCATAATTGCTTGTATGTAACTTTTCTTTAAAAATTTCATTTTTCTGTATTAATTATTCTCTCAAATAATTTGTATATCTTTTCTTTATTTGTAATTTTTATTGCTTTTGCGGTGTTCTTGCGAGAATGCGTGTTGCTCTGCTTGCTTTATTTTTCAGTTTATAATTATTCTGGCTTTGGCATGAATTGTTAATGCATAATAAGGAATCTTTTCAACGATATACAGAGTGTGGAACGTATGCGGTATCTATGTCCTCTACGCGCATACCATCTTTTTTCTCATCACTCTTTTTTCTACACAGCCACGATCTTGTGTTGCGCATTGGTGAGTAGCATGCAGGCTTGCGGACATTCACACGGCTATTTCTCGCTATCTAAGAACTTAATTCTTTTATTTCTTAATTATAAATTTCGGAAGCTAATATGCGTATATTTATCTCATATGTATGTATTATTGATTTCGACCATGAGTGTTTACTTGAGCGTTTCACCTTGTATTACAGTTTGAATCTTTTTGCTTTCCGTTGCGAGCGACCAGTATTATTTATAATTATCTTTTCTATATCATCATTTTAATTTATTTGAACTTTCGTTTTTATTATTATTGTCGCATTGAAAATGATCTGGATTAGATCGAAACGTTTGCGAATTTAATCTTGCGTAACTAATCTATTGTATTTGATCTCTTTCTATGAATTTTTTTGTAACTTAATTTTCTCTAACTTGAATCTCTTTTATGTTACCATTGTATCATTTTAGCATTTTTATAATTTTTGACATTTATACTGTGATTTTTTTCTGCCTAATTCATATACTCAATTATTAGAATTTTTCTTATAACCACCACATTGACTTAATTTTTAATTAATTAATTATAACCTCTTATATAATACGTGTTTTTTTTATATGTATACATATACACATATGTACGTTTGCTGTATTTCTGGATCTATTTACGCATGAAATAAATAGATTTGACTATATTTAGGTGTATTCATTTTCATTCGTGTTTCATTCATAAATATAATGATGTTTATATAAACAGAAAATATTACATATACGTTATAGTACGTTATAGTACCCGTTTATTTCGTTGCGTTGTATCATTCTAGACGATAATCTTTAATGTTTCTTTACCAAAGATTTAAATAAGTAATTATTTTCTTGACGAATTTAATTTTCCTCTCGCGATATACATATATGTCATATGTATTATGATATATACATATATTATGATAACTATATTATATATAACATGTGTAATATACAAAAATCACTAACGTGATTAGGTTTATTATAAACATCCGTTTTATCATATTTTTGTATTGCGGAAAGTTATAGGAGAAAGAGAAGCACTGTCGTAGCCAAGTAGCGAGTCGATGAAATTGAGAGTATGCCTATAAGGGCGTCGTTTTTAGCTTATTTCTCAAAGACGCATTCACGGAACATAACTTTATTATATATGGTTGAATTTGGCGTGAAATGAACTTTAATTTAGTTGCAAGAAAAATTTAAAATTTAAATAAAAAATAAGTGGTGGGGATATTTTGAAAAAATTAACATTTTTTAAAAATCTAATTACACCGTTGTAAAGTGCTCTTGAAACCATAAAACTTTTATTTAAAACATTTTTCGATATTTCTTATTGTTTCGAAGATATTCACTCAGAAACGTAAACACAGATTTTTTTCAAGAGGGTGTTTCCACCCTTAAAACCGAATATCAGCCGCTAAAAAAAATTGCTTCGTGATTAGGTCCATCTAGTCTAAACTTATGCAAAGTTACAGATTTTTTTGAATTTTACACTTGCCGAACTTCCCTTGTAAGTGAAAAAATACCGGTGAGTTTAGATTGATCGTCAAGTAAACGGCGTAACTCGGGCGTTGCATCCTCTCACTTTCCTCAAAAACTTCTTTGGTCAAGTACTACACGCACTTAAAATTTTATCCAAATCGGTATTCCAAAGGTCGCGCCCTCCCCTTGTAAGACGTAAAACTAAGACGTTAGATATAATATATGGAGATAGTATTTTATTTTTCCTTGTTTGAATATAATTATAATGTAATGAAAGAAACTAATTTATCTTTTTTTACCTCCTTTATAGTCATTTGAAAATGAGAAAGAGTGTCAGAGACAAGATTTAACATCGCTTCAAACTCCTCAGAACACAGAAATTCAACATATTGATTAACAATTGCTAGTGGTACCTATTATTATTTTTATTATTAGAAGAAAATTCTTATTAACATATTCAAAATATTTTTTTATATTATACTTAATTTATAAATGATAAATTAATTTATAATTAATTTAAGCCTTTATCAGTATTTATATATTTTGCACAAATTATTAATTCTAGATTTTGGCCGAAAATTCATCAGATTCTGAAGTATTGTCAATATCTGAAATTATTTCAATAGAGCAACTGGATAGTGGACATAGAATTAGAATTAATGAGACGATTTGTTAACTCTACAATAATATTTACATTACAATTTTGATTTATATTTTCTATTTCATCTAAATCATAAGCTTTATTCGTCTAGAAATTGTATAATTTTTTACTTAAAGAGGGAGAAGGTCAGTCTATTTTGGCCATCCAAAAGCAGCATGAATTTTTAACTCCCAATGCTCGTAATCGATTATCACGACTCATAATTCGAAAAGAATTAGACAATATTTTGTTAAAAGTTTCTCCACAACAGAAACTCTGTACTTTAGAGTAAGTTTAAATTTTATTAATTAAAATTTATATGTAATCCACTCTTAATATGCAATAAAAAGAAATTATTTTATATGCAATAAAAAGAAATTATTTTTCAATATATTTTATGTTACAGAATTAAATCTTCTAATGGTCATGTATATATACTAAAAGGAATATAGGAATCTGAATATAGGATATGAAAACATGTATACATATATAAGTTTCTTTAATTTCTTTTCTTGATTTTTATTTAGTTGATTATTTTATATATGATTTTTCTGTTATTGTAAATATATTTATTGTATTTCAGTTTGTATCTGTCTTTAATATATTTTTATTAAATTAAATCAAATTGTATATTATTTATTGTATCCGTTCAATAATGAATGAAATATTACTAATTATTAAGTAAAATTAATGAAAAAACAAAAAGAGAAAAATCCAGAAAAAAGTAATAAAAGAAAGAATAAACAATACATTTATGCAAGTTGTAAAAATTGAGATTTAGTATTGTAATGTTTTACAATAATACATAATAAAGATTATAATTTAGCACCTACGAATTTTTACTACGGCAAATAATGAAATATGTTAAGTGTTAGTTTTAAATTTTACTATTGTACTATAATTTATTCTATAAAGTTATGGTCCATTGATCATGCAAAAAATAGTAAAAAGTGATATAAAATTGTATTACATATTAATATAAAATTTACTCCATGTATAAACAAAATATGTGAGCATATTTTATTTTTAAAATGAAAATTATTTTCTGCATACTTACCTTCAACCGTTGATTTGGATGTCTCATGTCTCCGTGAATTGCACGATTCTCGTCATTATCCATTTTATGAGATTAATACTCCTGAATGAATAGCTACCTTGGCAAATGCATGAAGGCTTTCCCAACAATACTATTGATCTGTAATATATTATATTAATATAATAATTAATATAATAATTATTGTAATATAATATATTATACTTTATATATATAATTAATGAATAAATAAAAAAAAATATATATAAAGAAGTAAAAAATAATTTTGTTTTTAAGGTTTGCAAATATTTGAAAATGATACATTTTTTTTTTAATATTCTTGTGATACAAGTTTATGTATGACTAAAGCTACATTCTGATATTTACTGCTAGAAAGCTATAATTTTCATCACATATGCTACAGATTTTCAGTACTGGCAGTGAATAACGAAATGCAGTCTAAATATTATGTATGTATTATGTATGTATTATATATGATTATATATTTATGTCAAAAAAACTTTAAGGTACAAAATACTTTTCATTAAAATAATTTTTGAAACATATTATCATTTATATTTTATATAAAATTAACTTTTATATATATATATATATATATATATATATATATATTACATTTACTTCATAACTGCAATATAACATGTTATATTACATGTTATATTTAAATGAATAAATAAATAAATAAATAAATAAAATAAATAAATAAATATATACATATAACCAAATCAAATTCTCAATGTTAAAAAACTCACTAATAATTAATTCAAGATATAAATAATCATATGTAGAAATGACTCAACTTTTACTGTAATGTAACAAATCTTGACTCTGATACAATGTTTTCAGTTTCTCTCGTTTCTATCTTTCAAATTTAACTAATATTTTTTGACATGTGCTAGTTTCTTGCATTCTTTATCTACAATATCGACCATCTTTATTGAAATTTATATTTGAAAAGGACCACAACCAAATGATCGAAACTTTGTATGTTTGAATAATAAAGAATTAATTTGTGCTAGTTGAGTCATTTTTACATATGATTATATATATATATATATATATATATATATATATATATGCTTGTTATAATATTAATAACAGAGTTTACTGAGATACTTACTTTGCTTTGTCCATATCTCTGTATATGTCGATACAGGATGAGATGCACAAAACACAATCTGCAAAATACAGATATAAATTTCTTTGAAATTAAAATAGAAAGAGAATTTTACGTAAGAAAAAGAGTAAGAAACGATATATATATGTCGACGCAGGATGAGATGCACAAAAAACAACCTGCAAAATACAGATATAAATTTCTTCAGAATTACAATATAAAGAGAATATTACGTAACAAAGAGTAAGAAACGATATATATGTACATTTTGTGCGCACAACTTTCTATTAATGTAACCTTAGATTTTCTGAAATATTTTATCCTACCGAACTGTTAATATGAGCAATATTATTATAAAATATATAGGAAAATATCCTTAAATCTTGTTTAATATTTGAAAAAATATCGAATTAATAAGAGAAAAAGGATGATTACCTTTGATTAAAACGATATCTCGTAGATGGTGAAAACGTGGCACGAAGGAACAAGTCGGAAACGAGGACGAAAGTACCGGAAATTACGTATTTAAAATGGCGTTGCTATACAAATATATCTGCCAATGGCGCCTTTAGGCCGGGTCTACAATAGATAATTTAAGCCTTAAGAGATTGATCAATCACAGTCAAGTATGAAGAGAATACTCGACTGTGATTGGTCAATTTCTTAAGCCTTAAGAGAAGTATGAAGAGTGAAGAAAATCTTTCCGCGAAATAAAATTTGTGCAGAGTTTATTGTTGATTTATGAATATTTAAAGATACATATCATGTATTGGAATATTTATATTTGAATGTTATCTTCAATCATTCTATTCAATTGTTTTTTTATATTTTTTTCAAAGTAATTAAAATACTTCGGGATTATTAAAAGAAATGAGAGAAAAAAAGAACTGATTTCTGTGTCTATAAAAATTATATTTATAATTTCTAATATTAATTTTATTATATTTATAATTTTTTATTATTAAATACAATAATAGCATTTTTATTCTTTTGAAAATATAGTCCAAATTGATCTATTAGTTTTTTAAACTAATAATACAATTAATAACATTTCTCTAATTATTTTATTCATTTTATTTGATTTTTATAATTTTCTAAAATTTAAAAAATTTTTGAAATATTAAGAGATTATTTCAAATTAAATATTTGAGAAAAGCTAAATTGAATATGACGATATGTACATTATGTAAGAAAATACTCGACTGTGATTAGTCAATTTCTTAAGCCTTAAAGGCCCGTCTACAATGACAGTATCAGTAGGTCGTAGCAGTTGTAAGCGAAATGAACCACATCCATTTCCTACGGTTTTCGTGAGTTCTACGGCGGTTGCGCATACGCAGTCACGGAAGAATTCTGCGTTTTTAATTCTGATTGCGCGTTCGCCGTAGAACATACATCGTAGCCGTAGGAAATGGATTTAGTTCATTTCGTTTACAACTGCTACGACCTACTGATACTGCCATTGTAGACGGGCCTTAAGAGATTGACCAATCACAATCGAGTATGAAGAGAATACTCGACTGTGATTGGTCAATTTCTTAAGCCCGGGTCTACAATAGGTAATTTAAGCCCTAAGCCTTAAGAAATTGACCAATCACAGTCAGATATTCTCTTCATACTTGACTGTGATTGGTCAATTTCTTAAGGCTTAGGGCTTAAATTACCTATTGTGGACCCGGGCTAAGGCTCAGGACTTAAATTGTACATCGGGACTAAAACATCATCCGATACTGGCTTTATCTCGCTCATTGTGCGTCAGCCCTAAAATGATCTTGAATATAAGAACGAACTATGAATATCAGTCCAAAGGTCTTTCTCGTCTCACGTTACGTTTGTGATGTTCGAGATGAACAGTGAGAATGGTGATATCTTCTTCGGTGGACGCAAACATGCGAGTCGCGACTAAAGAGCCCCGTAAGTTCTTGTGATGCGCGGACAAGCGACTTGGGCGTGATTTAGCGAACGACGTGAACTCGCGTGGGAAAATGTGAGGCTTGAAGGTACAGCGGGATAAGCTCGTTAAAGGGGGAAGAGAAAGAAACAGGAGACTTGGGCGGGGAAAAAGGGACAGCTGCTGTGCCCATCATTTTGATGCGAAAAAAAGACGAGGGGGAGATCGAGAGGCTCCGTGATTTCAGAGTCCTGTCAACGGATCGGCGAGAGGTGTGCACCTTTTATAAAAATGATATTAATATATCTCTCAACATTTTTCGAGTATTCTCTGACATATTATTTTTTTCTCTCTTCCTCTTCTTGGGCGCAAAGTTTGAAAAATTTTTTTTTACGTACGCTTCTTTGTTTTCTGTTTATCTATAATGTGTGATTTTCTTTCGTATTTTCCACTTTTCGCGAATATACTTTTTTTTTATTTCAATAAAAATGCGATAATATGGATATACGATTAGCAAAATTTTGAAAATCTTTCCGCGAAATAAAATTTTTGCGCAGAGTTTATTGTTGATTTATGAATATTTAAAGATATATTCCATGTATTCGAATATTTATATTTGATAAATATTATCTTCAATCATTCTATTCAATTGTTTTTTATATTTTTTTTTCAAAGTAATTAAAATACTTTGGGATTATTAAAAGAAATGGGAGAAAGAAAGAACTGATTTCTGTGTCTGTAAAAATTATATTTATAATTTTTAATATTAATTTTATTATATTTGTAATTTTTAATATTAATTTTATTATATTTATAATTTTTTTATTATTAAATACAATAATAGCGTTTTTATTCTTTTGAAAATATAGTCCAAATTGATCTATCAGTTTTTTAAACTAATAATACAATTAATAATATTTCTTTATTATCTTATTCATTTTATTTTTTTTTTTTAAAATTTTTTTGAAATATTAAGAGACTATTAAGAAATTATTTCAAATTAAATATTTTAGAAAAGCTAAATTGAATATGGCGATATGTACATTATGTAACTCAGCGACTAGATTTGCTTTAAATTACATTTGATTATACTTTTCAAGATAAAATAAATTATACTAAAAAAATTGTACTATATTAGTACTTTGTGGAGAATAAGAAAAAATAACAAGTATGGAGAAAGCAGTTTAGAAAAGCAAAACTTTTTTATCATTAACAAGATACATGGTAGATTTAATTTTAACACGCTTTGACCTGACCTAATTCTAACTTTATTTTTTCCCACGAATTAATACCATCAAGTAAAATACAGAAATAGTTAAAATAATGTAGAAATTTAAAAAAAATGTAGAAAATTTTAACAATTTTAAAAAGTTTGTTTATAAATATAGATGTATGCATAAAAGCAAATTTAATGATGAGAAAATTTTTTTTTCCATATAAGTGATTACCATAATTTTATATACATTTTCTATTTTATTTATTTTTATTTATGATGATACAGAAATATAAATTAAGATTTTATTTTAAATAAAAATTTTTGTTCCTGGGATAAAAGATTAATCTGAGATTTATGTTATAAATATCTCATATACAAGAAATCATGTAATAAATGTACAATGTAAATTATTCAAGGCAAAATGATGCACTGAAAAGGAAACCAAAACGAATGTGATCATGTCCTGATAGGATAGAACTAAAGCAGCAGTTGGTCGTATTTCAAGGAGACGAGAAGTCACCTTATATCTCTCTACGATAGCGTAGAATGGGTGAGAAAATTGTAGAGTTATATGTTTGTAATGTCAGATTATGATTTCAATTTAGGACAGATTGCACTGATGTAATTGGTATTAAAAAATAGATATTAATTGCAATTTTTTTCTTTTTTTCTGTTATAATTATATAATACAGTGCAATTGTAATAATTGAAAGTCATAGATAATGAATGTGTATAAAAATTCCTGATTTCAAATTGTGCAACTTTTTTTGAATTACATTTGTAAAGCATTAAAGAAATAAAAATTTTACTTTTATATCTGGATTTGTTTAGTATTGATAATATGAATTCCACAAATTTATATTTTCTTCAGACAAATTTATTAATTTTATCATTTTTTTAATCGTTCTTTTTGTTGCATTTTAGAAATATGTAAATTATATGAAAATATATAAATTACAACAATTGAAAATCATGAATATGACTAAATATATGAAAGTCATCATTTTTATATTAAGTCAGAATGGTATATAAAAGAATTTTTCAAAAAGGCAGTATCTATGAAATATTAAAATAACAAAAGAGTCTAAATTATTATGTAGAATTTTAAAGATAATATTCAATTTCATTAACATTAGATATTAGGTTTACAATTGCGCTTTATGTTAAAGTAGTGAAATTATAATTTTTATGAATTTGAAAGAATTTAAGTGATTTGTAATTTAAAATCTTTTTTCTTTGATTTAAAAATTTTTATTTTATACTTTCCAAACTCTTAAGCATGATGCAGTTGAATAATCTCCTTAAAATGATATTATTGTGAATCAATTTCATTTTCTAATAATAACTAATCAATAAACAATTGTTCGTATTTGAGAAATATTAGTATCTTTTATTTCAAACATTGTTACCTATAATACTCTTTTATAATATGTCTAGTAATTTCATAAAAGGTTAATCTAACTATTGTGAATGATTATCAATAATGTTTCTTTTATAGATATTAATTGTAAATTTAATTTGATTCTAGATACACAAGTAGAAATGTCTCGCAACAATGGACCTGGTCTTTACGAGTTCCTTATGGAAGCTGAGTTACAGCAATATTACCCTGGAATTCGAGGTAATTTTATTTATTTCAGTCATATCTTGTTATACTTTTTTTAAATAATATTCTAAGACATATTAATTAATATTTTAATGTCTAATTAAATATCTTTGATGTATAATTTCTTAATGTTTCAATTAAATTTCTAATTAAAATTTAATATTAAGAAAAATATTATAAAAGAAAGATTAAAAAAGAATATCATTTGTTTAATTAATTTGTTTCTTTTCTATCTAGTGGAAAGAAATAATTATATAATTATGTGCTATTTGTGCACTTTTAAAATCTGCAAAAGAATTTCTGTTAAATTATTACATTTTTAAAATTGTTTCTATATTTATTGTTTTTATATAATTTATAAATATTATTTATATTTATAAATGATATTTATAAATATAATTATATATTTATTTAATATATTATTTATATTTATAAATATAATATTTATAAATATATTTATTTAATATATTATTTATATTTATAAATATAATTTATAAAAATAATAATATTAATATTAAGAATTTAATATTAAGAAAAATATTATAAAAGAAAGATTAAAAAAGAATATTATTTGTTTAATTAATTTGCTCCTTTTCTATCTAGTGGAAAGAAATAATTATATAATTGTGCTATTTGTGCACTTTTAAAATCTGCAAAAGAATTTCTATTAAATTATTACATTTTTAAAATTGTTTTTATATTAATTGTTTTTATATAATTTATAAATATAAATATAATATTTATAAATATATTTATTTAATATATTATTTATATTTATAAATATAATTTATAAAAATAATTATAAAATTAAAAGAGAGGCTTTTTTCCAGGAGATTTGAAGGTGCAGACCACAGCACAATTGAAGTATGTAACGGAAGAAGATCTGAACGCGATAGGGATGAGCAAGCCGGAAATGCGGCGTCTAAAAAAATACTTCCAGAAGCATTTTCCTCAAAATTACCTGTCGAAATTCAAGAAAATGCTTCTACCAAAGCGCGAGGAACAGACTCCCGGTGCGCTAAGCATGTTGCCGGAAGAGAGACAGGACAGACCGTCGGTACGCGTGCCCAATAAACACATGATCCCAGCCGATGCGATTATTGTGAATAAAGAATTGGGCACTGGAGAATTCGGGGTCGTGCAGCAGGGTGTCTGGACAAACGACGGAGAAAGGATACAGGTGGCAATCAAATGCCTGTCCCGCGAACGAATGCAGAATAATCCTATAGAATTTCTAAAGGAGGCCGCGATAATGCACGCGATCGATCACGAACATATCGTGCGGCTGTACGGCGTCGTGCTCGACACAAATTCGTTGATGCTGGTAACAGAACTGGCGCCGTTACGTTCATTGCTGGAGTGCCTGAAGGAGCCCAGTTTGCGCGCCAGTTTCCCGGTTTTGTCGTTGTGCGACTTCGCCGTGCAGATTGCTGACGGGATGCAATATTTGGAGGCGAAAAGACTGATACATCGTGACCTGGCTGCCAGAAACATCCTTGTATTCTCGAAGAATAAAGTCAAGATATCGGATTTCGGGTTGTCGCGCGCCCTAGGGGTCGGCAAGGATTATTATCAGACGAATTTCAACGTGAATTTGAAGCTACCCATCGCGTGGTGCGCACCTGAATGCATATCCTATCTGAAATTCACGTCGGCGAGCGACGTTTGGGCGTACGGGGTTACTCTGTGGGAGATCTTCAGTTACGGATTTCAACCCTGGGCAGCGCTGACCGGCCATCAGATTCTCGAAGCGATAGACGAGCCGAATTTTCAGAGGCTCGAGCAACCCGAGTGCTGTCCAAAGGACTACTTTTCTCTCATGCAACAATGTTGGCAACACGAGGCTCTGAAAAGACCCAAGTTTTCCGAATTGATCAATCTGTTGCCTGATCTAAAGCCGGAACAAGTTCAAGCGGTCCAGGATAATACTGAGCCGAATCAGCTCGCTTACAGGCAAAACGACATAATTACAGTCTTGGATAAAGGCAGTAGCAATATCTTGTGGAAGGGTGTTTTGAATAACGGCAAAACGGGATTCTTTAATCCGGCACATACGATCGCGTACCTCGGTTCCAATCTACCTAGCAATAAGCCCGGCGAATTTACGCGGGGAGATGGCAAGAATGCTTTTTCCTCGCAGCGTAGAAAAATCCGTACGGACATGATATCCTCGCCGCAGGGCGATCTCAAGCATACCGGTCATGTGGGTTTGGACGGAGCGTACTTTGGTGACATTAGCTTTCTAGGTGGAAAGTATCCGCATCTACCTCGTCAAGTTGTGACACCATATAAACCGCAGGAAGACGCAACTGATAATTCTCAAAGTTTAAATCAGGATGCTAGAAGTGTCGATACAAATAGAGAATCAGCGAGAGATAGTAGGAATATGCAGCAAGAGGCTCAAAACAAACACGGTATTCTATTTTCTGTTATAATAAATCTTCTTATTATTTTATTAAATTACTTTATTATTTTATTATATACTTTATATATAATAAAGTTAATAAAATAATAATTTTATATATAATAAAATTAATATTTTATATATTTCTTATATATTTTATTAAATTATTTTATTAAATTACTTAATTTTGCATATGTGTATGCATGAATTTATTTAATGAATATGCAAAATTGTTTACAATTATCACTTCATTTAATAAATATTTAATATACAGGGTGTTTCAGACCACCCGTACCAGTCATTTAAAAACTAGAGAAGTGGTTATTTAAAAAAAGTAAAAACATTTTCTTTATAAATCGGGTGCACTCTATCGAATGATGATAATTTCAACTTCTAGTTCCGGCCGGAAATAGGCGATTCAGATCGGAAGTGCATTTTTTTTAAATGGAACATCCTATTTTTCATTGCATATTCTTGTAGCTTACCTCGAGAGCTTTCCAAAACACTATAATAAATTATTTTTCCATGAAGTACTTTTCGAATTATGAGGCTTGAAATCATTTCTTAATTTTACATAAAACGTAATATATCTTGTAAAATATTCATTTTTCGATTATCTTACCTTAATACTTTTATGTACAAAATAATGAGAGGAATCAATTGGTGTAAAGAAAACATACAGTTGTTTTTGAGAAAAAATATGTAATTTGCAATTAACAATTCCATATTTTTTCTTAAAAACAACTGTATGTTTTCTTTACACCAACTGATTTCTCTCATTATTTTGTACATAAAAATATCAAGGTAAGATAATCGAAAAATGAATATTTTACAAGATATTTTACGGTTTATGTAAAATTAAGAAATGATTTCAAGCCTCGTAACTCGAAAAGTACTTCATGGAAAAATATTTTATTATAGTGTTTTGGAAAGCTCTCGAAATAAGTTACAAGGATATGTAATGAAAAATGAGGGATTCCATTTAAGAAATTGAAGGTGATCTTTACACGACCTTGACAACGCTATTCAAGATCATACTAATATTACTATGTAATGCGTTATTCGAAAACCTACAACTTTTGTAGGAAACATTTTTGTCTGCCGTTCTCGGTTTTTGAGATATTCGGCTGGCACGGGTGGTCTGATACACCCTGTATATGAATAATATTATATTATTTAAAATAAAATAATATTTAATATAAATAAATATTTAATAAATATGCAATATTATTTATGTAATTTATAATTTCATTAGGTATAATTTGATTAAGAATTAATAGAAATAAACTTTATACATGGAAGAAAGATTAATTAAATATTAATCATATTTGATCTTTACGCTACTTTATGACTCTATTATCTTATATGTTTATATAGAGAATTTATGGTCTGATGTGAGTTTGGACATATGTCAAGTGAATACAGAAAGCAATGCAAAGAAGCAATCCATAACGTCTAATACAGGCAGTAACACTGATGTTCTTGAAGCTGATCATGAATATCATGAAATCAGTGACGAGGAAAATCAAGAAAGTCCGTTAAGATTTGATAAAACGTTGAATTTTGACTTTGGTCCAAGTCTTTTGGCAGAAATGGATCAAATGTTCAGATCATTAGGTAAAAGAAATTGGAAAATAAATATTCTATTTTTTACAATAAGATGTATAGATAATGTTTCTGATATATGATTGTTTTTTTTTCTAGGTTCTTCTCCTCCTCCTCCACCACCTGGTCTTCCTTTACCCACTGAACATGAATCAAGTAACGTGAGAAACGAATTGCGGGAAATTCAAGCGAAACAATCTAGCAAGAAGAAACAAGCCACCGTGAGTCCAATAAATGTACAGTAATCTTTTATTATTTTTTATTATTATATAATTTATTCATTATATTTAACAATATATTTATTATTATTATTCAGTGTTACTTGTTCTTTATTTATTATTTGCTATCTTTAGATATTATTTTTATTTATATTTATACAATATGTTATTAAGGCAAAAGAAATTGAAATTTGATGTAAAATTCTTATGCAGAAGCAATAATTCAAGTTTAATGCAGTATAATGAAGTTTCGATTTCTTGATCTGTACTTAATATAAACTTTTAAAATATATATTCATGTTTAAGTAAGACAGTAGCAATATGTATATTTTTCTTTAGAGAGAGAATTGCACAGAAATGTTGACCTACCGTTGATATGACGGAGAGAGTAAACATTTCTCTTGTATCTAGGTGAAACCTATCTCAGCTGCCGATCAGAAAACTCTCTACTCAGCCATTGCTATGGCACAGGAATTGACAGCACGTTCCATGACAGATCTTGAACATCCACCGGAGTCTCCCCGTACACCTGCCAGTCCTTCAAGACGCAGAAAATTCTCTTTTAAGTTGCCACATCAATACAGTCCTAAACCAGATAGACGACATTTTTCCGAAGAAGCTGCCAGTATACCTGACATACAGGTACATAAAACGGCTTTTGTTTTATTCCAGAAATATATTAAAAAGTTAAACAGATCAAAAAATCTACAACAAAGGAAGACAAGAAAAATGTCAAAGTCTTTACATTCTTACTTAACATTCTAATTTTTATTATGATTTATATAATAATTATTAAAAATTCTGCAAAATTACTTGGTATTTCTAGAGTATGGATTAATAATATATTGACGTATATAAATATTGCAATAAAAATGAAGCAACAAATAATGCAAAAAGTTTCTAAATTATTAATACGATTTTACATATTTTCTACATTTATCTTTGCATTCTCGATTACAGTTGTTTCCCCAAGTTATTTAATATTACAGATTTAACTCTTCCTTTGTTTTTTTAATTAATATTTAACATACTGCAGCAATTAGATGTTATATACATACATCATTACACTTTTTACATATTTAAATACATAAAATTTATGCAAGAAATTGCTTTACAATTAAAATATTTATAAATATGACGAGATGACATGTACTGTAACTATGATAATTTGATTTGGATATGATAGGAATACGATAAAATTGAATAATACACTACAGACTATTCCGTAATTAATGGTATAATCAAAGGAGAAAATAATAATACATAAAAAATACAGTTAAAAATCAGAATAAAATTTTTTTATGCAAAGTTTTATTTTTAACAAAATTGACTTTAAAAATTGGAATATTGATTGCATATTTTATGAGTTTTTAAGCTAAAAAATAATTTCTCTAACTTTATAATATTAAAAAAATTTATTTTGACAGTGACTATTAAAATATGTAAAAATTTTTTATTGAAAAAAAAATTGTCTACAAATACTTTATATTTAATTCTTTCTGTCCCGTGTAACTTAAATGATTTTAAAATTGTTTTACTAAAAATGTATTTTTTTTAGATTTAAAAAAACGTCAGTGTTACTAATTTTTCAAATTTTTAAATTAATTTTTTCCAAAACAAGATTTTATATGAAAAGATTTTATTCTTTATTTTTAATTTATTTCTTCTTTGCTGATTCTTTCTCTTATACTATTAATTACGGAATATCTGGTATACAGGGTGTCCCAAAAGTCCCGGACCGGTCGAATATTTCATAAACTATGCACTTTAGAAAGAAATGTTTCAGACAAAAGTTGTATGGCTTGAAGAGGACCATCAGATAGTGGCAATGGTTTGACCTTGGAGAGTCATTTGAAGGTGACGTAAAGGTCACATTCAATTTCTTAAATGGAACCCCCTATTTTTCATTACATATTCGTGTAGCTTATCTCGAGAACTTTCCAAAACACTATAATAAAGTATTTCTTCATTGAGTACTTTTCAAGTTATGAGGCTTGAAATCATTTCTTAATTTTGCATAAACCATAAAATATCTAGTGAAATAATTATTTTTCGATTATCTTACCTTAATACTTTTATGTACAAAATAATGAGAGGAATCAATTGGTGTAAAGAAAACACATAGTTGTTTTAAAAAAAATATGTAATTATTAATTGCAAATTACATATTTTTTTCTTAAAAACAACTATGTTTTTTCTTTACACCAATTGATTCCTCTCATTATTTTGTACATAAAAGTATTAAGGTAAGATAATCGAAAAATGAATATTTTACAAGATATTTTACGGTTTATGTAAAATTAAAAAATTTCAAGCCTCATAATTCGGAAAGTACTTAATGAAAACTAACTTAATTATAGTGTTTTGGAAAGCTCTCGACGTGAGCTACCAGAATATTTAATAAAAAGTAGGATGTTCCGTTTAAGAAATTGACGATGATCTTCACGTGACTTTCAAATGACTCTCCCATGTCAAATCATTGCCACTATCTGATGGCCCTCTTCAAGCCATACAACTTTTGTCTGAAACATTTCTTTCTAAAGTGCATAGTTTATGAAATATTCGACTGGTCCGGGACTTTTGCGACACCCTGTATGTACATTGCACATACATATTTGAATATTATTTAAAACCATTTTAATACTGTTATGGAACAAAGTTAATTCCTGCTGTCACATAAGATAAAAAAATAGGTAAAATCAAAACTATAAATTTACTTTGAAGTTTATCCATTGTATTTTAAGTTTCTTAATCTAGTTAGCTTATTTACTTATAACATAACTAATCTCGATTTTTCTCTTATCCTTTTCCCCTCTCATTACTTCTTATTGGTTTCTGTATACTTTGATTATGTATAATTTAACCTGTATACTTTGGTTATGTATAATTTAACCTGTTATAATTTAACCTGTATAATTTAACCTGTTTTTTTTTATTGCATCACAATCATATTTTCTTTATTTTTGCCGATAAATGCAAACCCCAAATATTTTTGCCAACTGCAAAACTTTATATATTTGTGCATGTCTTTCTGTATATTATGCATGCACTTAAAATATCTTTGTCATTTTTCACTTATTTCCCTGCATGTCGTTTTCGAATTGTGCGAAAAGTGGCTGTGTTCGAGCCTGCAATCGCTTTCGTCTACGGTATCTAGCATAGAATCCTTCGGTGCACCGTCGACCCTGAAGCTTCCCTTGTGGGATAAAGCCTCGGCAGAATTTTGTTTCGCGAAATCGAGGGAACTTTTAACGAAACCGAGCGCCTGGGCCTCGTACATGGACATTGATTTGGATACGCACATACTGGATAATCAGATAACGAGGCAAAATTTAGTGAAATCCACCGAGTTCTTAAAGAAGGAGAATAAAAGGAATCACTTGAATTGCGAGAGCGCGGCTGATCTCGAAGCCAAATCGAATATTCGCCATCAGAATGGTAAGATCTTCAACATGGACAACTCGTCGACCTACGATTTACCGTGCGAGATCAAAAGAGTGTCCACCAGCTACGTCGAACGTTATTTCGAGCAACCCAAATACTGCGATGATGAGGGTATTCTAGAGTGCGCCAACGAAAAGGCGCATTTTGTGGAAGAGAAATTGGATAAGTATGATAAGCTTAATAATCTGGAACAGCCCAATAGGCCTGCCTATTATTCGAATGCTCTGGAGCAGGGCTCTTCGGTTGGAGGTAGATTAAATCAAGCCCAGTTACAGAGCAAACTGAACAACTGCGAGCTGCAACTCAAGAATAATATCACGCACCTCGATACATGGTCGGATGAGAACTTCTTGAAGGAAAAAATGGCCAACTTGGAGTCCCCTCGCAATAAGCCCAAGAAATTCGATGGGGTTAAAGATAAGAAGAACCTCGATCTCGGGACCCGGCCGAAGATACCCATTGCCTTCACCGAGTCCACGAAGATGAACATCACGGAATTCAAGAAGATTGACTTTCCCAAGTCTAGAAATGCGAAGATGCCCTTCATGCCTAGGAACACGAACCAAGATGCGAGTACGATGTACGGTTCGTCGGACAATATTAAGACAAGCGCGAAAACGGACGGTTCGGATAGTCCCAGGGGCAACATAGAGGCGGTAAAAATAAATATACAAAGCTTCCGTAAGATTGAACAGAATCAAAATGGCCACGAGGGCTTTCCGTTTGTGATATCCAACAACCCTTTATTTATCGCCGAATCCGAGAAGAAGGAATCCCCCATCTACAGCAGTTCCGAGAGTTTGCGAGTGAATTTCCAGCGTCTCAGGCGAAAATCCGACGCCGAAGCCAGTCAAGTAGAACTGAACAGCAAACTCTTGGCAGAGAAGTACCAACGGGAAGTCTCTGGCTTGGAGAGCGTGAAGAACTACTTGGATTCCAAGAAGAGCCAGGGCTTGAACTTGGGCTTGGGCAAATTGACCCAGAATATGATACAGTTGGGTAAGAACATCGCGCAAAACTCGAGGAACCTGGAGACAGCCTCGTCGAGGTCTCTCGCCTCCAACATGAGAAACCTGGACCTGTCGACGTCTCACTCGCCATTGCGAAGTCTAAATATCCCAATTCAGAAGCCCAAACATCTGGATCTGAACATACCGCTTCAAAATCAAGCACCGATCAACGCGAAGCTGGGCTTGATGCAAAAAACGAACCTGCCAAGTCCCACGATGCCTCAACACATTCTGGAGCCGCCGAAATTGTATCAGAATGAGCCCGTCAGAAAGGAACTGCCCAAACAGGAAAAGGTTCCCGGCTCTGTCAACGTCTATCGACACAGGACATCGTCCTTATCGGAAAATAGAAAACCGGTGAAGAACGTACGCAGGTCCTTCCATCCCAGAAACGACTCCAGCGAGGACTCGGACTCGGTCTCGCACTCGGAGATGGACATCAGAAGCCGCCTGCGTTACAAACGTAGACACAAGAAGGTTCCGCACAATCTGCGCTTAAATTTCAAGTACAAGGCCCCGTTTTTGCATCCGGATTCCGCGAAGGGGTTCTCCACGGTTGAGCTTTGCGGGAAGTCGCCGCCGCCGTCAACGAGCTTCCTAAACTCGCTGTCGCCACCGTTCTCCTCCAAGAACAATCTGCTCTCCTGGCCGGAAAGCGCGCCCAGCTCGAGCTTGACGTTCACCAGCAATTCTGACTTCGACTCGGACACCAGCTCCGAGTACCCAGAGTTCACGAATGACGTTCTGACGTTTCCTCCCTCTCCAGCTCCTTAAAGTTGAAGGACAAATTTATGACTTCGGCCTCGATCAATTCGGATGCAGCTTTTTCATGTATCGAGCCTCGACAATTTCGCAGAGTGGCTGGAAAAATTGTTATGTTACAAATGCATGCTAGTTATATTAACTTATATACAAAAAATCTGATGGTTAAACTAGATTGATTTTTTTTTAAATTATTATAGTTTCTTTTTAGATAATATACAGGGTGAATACCAAAAGTCTGGATACAGTCGAATATCTCGTATAGAATGCATTTTAGAACAAAATGCCTTGGACAAAAGTTGTAAGGATTAAAAAGATGTATTTAATTGTAATATCCATTTGACATTGAGTGGCGTCGCCAAGGTCAGAGCAAGGTCAACTTGAATTTTTTAAATGGAATCCCCTATGTTTCATTGCATATTCTTGTAGATTATCTCGAGAGCTTTCCAAAACACTATAATAAATTATTTTTCCCACAAGTACTTTTTGAGTTGTAAGGCTTGAAGTCATTTCTTAATTTTACATAAACCGTAAAATATCTTGTAAAATATTCATTTTTCGATTATTTTACCTGAATACTTTTATGTACAAAATAATGAGAGGAATCAATTGGTGTAAAGAAAACACATAGTTACTTTTAAGAAAAAATAATTAGTAATTTACAATTATCAATTAAATATTTTTTCTTAAAAGTAACTATGTGTTTTCTTTACACCAATTGATTCCTCTCATTATTTTGTACATAAAAGTATTAAGGTAACATAATCGAAAAATGAATATTTTACAAGATATATTTTACGGTTTATGTAAAATTAAGAAATGATTTTGAAGCCTCATAATTCGAAAAGTACTTAATGAAAACTAACTTAATTATAGTGTTTTAGAAAGCTCTCGAGATTAGCTACAAGAATATGCAATGAAAAATAGGGGGTTCCATTAAAAAAATTCAAGTTGACCTCGCCCTGACCTTGGAGACGCCACTCAATGTCAAATGGATATTACAGTTAAATACATCTTTTTAATCCTTACAATCTTTGTCTAAAGCATTTTGTTCTAAAATGCATTCTATACAAGATATTCGACTGTATCTAGACTTTTGGTCCACCCTGTATATACAATAATTATTTTATTCAGTTTAAAATACATTCCTCCAACGTATCAATGCAGAGAGTGTGTAAGATTTATAATTGATTTTTTTTCTATTTTAAAGTTATCAGGAGACTTGAAGATATTTTCTCCCTATTCTACAATTTTCATCTTCAATTCTCATTCTTATTCCAATGACACAAGTATAGAATGAAAATGTTGCGCGTTCTGTTTTTCATTCCTTTTCTCCTTCATGTTATCGTATAAGTGAGAAAAGAGAGCGGTGCAAAAGGAAAATCTTAGTTTGAAGAAAAAAAAGACAGCTATTGTTAGAAACTAAGAATAGAGGATCTTTTAGAATACAGATTCCCCGTATTTTGATATGGTTTTTATAAAAGTCTGATACGGTTTTTTGTAGGTCTTTTCAATTTTAATTCCCGGAATGAGAAGTGATAGCAGGAAGATAAAAAAGCAAAATAGAAAATAAAAGAGAAAATAAAATTTTTAAAATTAAAAACGATTAATTTTTAAAATAAAAACGATCAGGGTTCGTAAAATAAACATTTATGTTGTTTAAGAATTTAAAAAAATGAAAAGCACATTCATTCATGCTTTGACCTAAAAAAATTGAGAATGCCGTTAAAAGGATAATTTTCCCATAGACATTAGAGACCTACAAAAGACCCGCATACGCAACGCGCGCACACACACGCATATACATGCATACATATGTACACAAACACGCACATACATACATATAAAAGCATATAAACATATATATGCATAGTTAACAGTGTTTGCTGTAGATAATTTCAAAATTATCCAGATAAAGATAAAGATAAAAATCTGTAAATGTATCTTAGATGAGATAAAGATGATTTTGCTTTTATTTTATCTAGATGAAAGATGAGATAATTATTGCGATAATCTAATATAATAATTATCTAGATATTTTTGTTTATTTTAGAAGGCTATAAATATTTATAAAAAATGTGACGCAGATTATAAATGGGATATTAAAATCATAAACACATATTCTTTCTCTTTTCCTAAAGAATATTTAATATTATAAAGAAATAATAGCAAAAAGGTATATAAATGATATGACAAATATTTATTTATTAATTTATATTTATAATATATTTATAATATATTTATTAATTATTAATAATAATAATATAAAAAATATATTTTAGATATTTTAGATAGATTTTTAGAAGCTTGCCTGGAAAAATTTTTTGCATAATGAAAACGTCATCTTAGACAATTTTTAAATAAGATGACATATTTTTCATCTAAGATAAAGATAAAGATACTTTGTATTTCTTTATCTAGTTAAAGATAAAGATGATCCATTTCTTTATCTAGATGATTATCTAGATAATTTTTTCTAGGTATCAGCAAACACTGATAGTTAATATATGCAATAGTTAATTAATAAATATGTACGTGTGTGCGTGTGTGCGTGCGATATTGTCTGAAGCAACATTTTACCAGGGTTGGGAAGAAATGCGTTATTTATAAATGCTGTCAAAACGGTATATTTTCTTTTTTTTTAATAATTTATAATAATGAATATATTAGAAGAAAAAGAATCAAGGAAATACTCTCTTTATAGGGTTTTAAAAAAATATTAATTTTCACACGAGAAAAAAAGAACACTTTTTTCTCATGTGAAAATTAATATTTAAAATTATCTGATGGGAAAATTAATATTTAAAATTATCCTATATTTATTTCATATTTTAATATCAATATCAAAATTATATCAGTTGTATTTTGATATAAAATTTGTTTGTTACATGTAAATTTTATATGTGTATGTTTCATATAAAATTTACTTTTTTTTTAAATCTCCAGCGAGTAACGGTAATGAATTACTTTCATTTAAATATTCCCGGCCCTGCATTTCACATATGCATGATTGCATGTCGTGTTAATCATTAAATTGAATAATATTAACATATACTGGAATACTTTGGATGCCTTTACACGTTTCTAGCAATTGTATTTGAAGAATTGATACAAAGTTATAGTGTGTAAATCGGTTGACTGCCATTAGTTTTTACACCAATAAAATTTGTACATTTTATACACACATTTATATTTACATATTTTTGAATAATTGCAATCTTTTGGAATACAGAAAGCGGAATTCTCAAACTGAAATACATATAAGATATCATCAATAAGCTACGTGTTTTATTAAGCTTTATTTAGACTTAAATGGAAATAAAACGAAAGATAAAAAAGAAGAAGATAATCAAATTTTTTTATATTTTAAAAATATCTTTTTTATGAAACTGACAATATATAGTTAAAATATTATTTTCACTTTTTTGAATTATTGGATGTCTAAGAATTATAATGGGTTTAAAAGTAATATAGTCGCATTTCTGTATTCATTTGTGTATAGAATTTGTTAACCATTTTAGTTTATATTACTCTTCTATTGCTTTACATTTGTTATTTAACGTCATGTAGACTCAAAATATCGTGTGTGTAATAATAATACAATGTTGTGTGTATTATTATTCTAAATATGCATATATATAATCAAGTGGCAAGTGTGAAGTAGCAGAAAAGGAGTAAAAGGAAAAAAAATGGTGAAGGAAAATGAGCAGGGTATTTCTACAAAAGTGGTAAAACTATAAAAGCATTTTATATCTACATAAAAGTGAAAAAAAACCATCAAAACTTGAAGAAATCATTTTCAGATCCTCGTGTTCATATGATTTTTTTCATTCATTATAAATAGAATATATGTCTCTAAAGTTTGACCACTTAATTTAGAAATATTTTGCAAAAAAATAAAACAAGTAATGCAGAAATTTGACTATATTTACTGTATTTGAATATATTTTTATTTTATATTGTTTTATATTATTTTATTTATTTATTTTTATTTATTTATTTATATTATTTTATTTTATATTTTATATTAATTTGAAAAATCAAGATAATTCAGAATCGTTTTGATTTATTTTAAAATAAAGATGAAGATTTGTTATAATTTATCTTTAAAAATAAAAATTTAAGACAATATCGTACAAGTAACTAAGTTTTTTTTTTGATTAACTAAGATAGCATTAGATCTTGGAAGCAAGAAATTTCTGTGCTTGATTTATAATATTGTGTAAACTAAAAAAATAAGTTGTATATTTGTTTATTTCATATTAATTTCAAACAATTATGTTCCATTTTGAATACTTATAAATATATGTATATATAATGCAAGGTTTATATTAACAATTTTATATATTTTTATTATATTAATTATTTATTATATAATTTTATTATATTTTATACATTTTTATTATATTAACAATTTAATAAGATTATTTATAATTTAATGATTTATGTATTTAATTTATAATTTATTTTTATTATATTAATTATTTATTATATAATTTTATTATATTTTATACATTTTTATTATATTAACAATTTAATAAGATTATTTATAATTTAATAATTTATGTATTTAATTTATAATTTATTTTTGATTAGAGAAAATAGAATTTTCTTTTTTTCTTTTACTTTTTCATAATAATTTTTTTAAAAGAACAGCCCCTTGCTTTTTTGAAATAGAAAAAAGTTTGAGAATCTTGGAATAAGTTATGTGTAAGAGAATGTAATTAAATGTAATTTTTTATCGCACTTAAGACTCCAACGAGTGTCAAGTATTACCTCTGAGCTCTTAACAGTTGAGTCTTATCCGAGGTAGTTGGTACACGATATCACAGACGCAAAGAGAGAGAAAGAGAGACTGAAAGATAGAGGAAGGGTAAAGATGTGCGTGCATGCGAGAGAGAGAAAGAGAAAGAGAGAGTTTCTTTAGCATTTTCCATATCCATAGTTTCCGTCGATTCTCTTATTTTTGTTTAATTTTATTTCTTCTCTCCTCGTATCTATCCCCTCCCGCGACATGTTCAGGCTACTCTGTCGGATGAAGCCAAGGAAGTGTACAACAGCTTGGTGGAGACGCCGACGATGGAGAGCCCAGGAGACACGAACCCGTTGCGCATGCTACGCTCTGGATTACCCATAGTGAGGCCCAGAATTC